CCGGCGGGCGGGGCGGGGCGTCGTCCCTGCGAGCCGGTGCCTGCCCGGCTCTGCGGGGTGACGCCGCCCCCCTCCCGCGAACCCACAGACGTGCGTACACTGGCAGGTGCCGCAGGCTCAGCTTTATTCCGCGTCTCAGAGGGCGGGGACGGCGAGCGGGGTGCAGGCACCGGGCGCGGGGCGGCTCAGCAAGGCGTCCAACATCTGCTCGCACATGGCCAGGCACCGCGGCACGTGGAAGCATCCTGCGGGGAGAGGCGGGAGGGCCGGGGGAAGCCGAGTGCCACGAGCCCCTGCGGGAGGACGGGTTGGGAGGGCCGGGGGGAGCCGAGAGCCACGAGCCCCTGCGGCTCTGCCCTGTCCCCCACTCACCTTTGAAGGGACCCCCCTTGATGGTGAGGGCAACCTTTCCCTCTCGGTTCAGATAGCCAAACCATTCCCCATACTCGGGATCGCGAAACTGGAATGACAACGAAACAGTGACAGCTAGCGCCTGCAGGACCCGCCTAGAAGCCATGGCCTGCGGCTCTCCTCAGGGGCGCTCCCCTTCCCCGCTGCAGCACTGCCAGGGATCACAGTCCAGATGGACCCCAGGTGACAACTCCAGAACCAGCGATCTAGCCGCGACACACCGCGTCCTAAACAAAAGAAAGCGCTAGGAAGCAGCAGGCAGTCTGCAGCTGTATAATCCAGTAGGGAAGGGGCTGCAGGCTGTGAGACAAGCACGAAAGGTTGAATGCATGAAGCCTGCTCTGGGGTGATCGAAAGGTTCTGTATCTTGATTGTGGTGTACACATTGTCATAACTAATTGAACCAAACACTTAAAATGGACGTTTGAGTGTACATAAATTGTGCTTCAACGCAACTGATGTGAAGAAACAACCCTGATGGAGGCGATAACCTGCCATGAAACTTTGTCAAGTGACTTTCCTGGAGTCCTGCTTCATGTGCATGTCCAGCCCCGAAATCTGACTCCTCTCCTTGCCCATCGCTGGTCCCAAATGCATCTGGTTCTCCCTCCGCCCCTGTCCAGTGCCCAGAGCCTTCCAATATGGGAACAGCAGCTCAACTGACCCATTCTGCACTCCTATCTTTCCTGTTCCCATTCCATCGCACACCTGACGCATAGAAGCTTGTCAGTCGCACCCCTTCGTGGAAGGGTCATAGAATAAATCAATTACATTGAAGTCCACTATCAAAAGGCCTCTTTAAATTACAGTCTCTAAAGGAATACCTGAGGCTAGGTTAAAAAAGTATGTGGTCGGCCGGGCTCAGTGGCTCAGCCTGTAATCCCAGCAACTTGGGAGGCCGAGGCGGGTGGATGGCCTGAGCCCACGATTTCGAGACCAGCCCGGGCAACTTGGCAAGACCTCGTCTCTACAATCAATCAATCAATCAATCAATCAAATCAACTGGGCGTGGTAGCGCGCGCCTGTAGTTCCAGCTACTTGGAAGGCTGAGGCAG